AGGTTCTTTGTCATTCGTGGAACATGCCTGACATCATTCACGGTACAGAACGAACCATCATGTGTCCGAACCTTTATGGACCCGATTCCAACAACCTTGCAGACAGCTCCATTTGCCATGACCACGTTACCTCCATCTATCTGCTCGTAGGTTGTGAAGCAATCCCTGTTCGGAGACATATGGTATGAGGCTGCAGTATCCAGAAACCACACATCCCCACGATGTGCCTTCTCATCTACAGCCAAGGCGAGATCGTCTTCAGAACTGTTTTCCACTTCTGCCACGGCAACTGAACCTTGTTTCTTCTGTTGCCCTCTTCTCTTGGGACAGTTGTACTTCCAATGCCCCACTTCCTTACAGTTGTGACAAGCATCACCTGGCTGTGGACTGGGACCCTTGGAATTCTTGTTCGAATTCCCTTTACCAGATTTCTTCTTTCCCTTTCCACCTGTAACAGCCAAACCCGATGCCTCATCACCTGTACCAGATCCGGACGCCTTATGTCTGATCTCTCTCGTATGAAGAGCAGACCTGACATCCTCCAATGACACGCTTTCTTTACCAGCAATAAAAGAATTAACGAAATTCTCATATGAACTCGGAAAAGAAACCAGTAGGATTAGGGCAGCATCCTCGTCATCAACTTGAACATCTATATTACGCAAATCCAGCAAAATAGAGTTAAGCTGTTCGAGATGTTCCCTCAAAGGCGTACCTTCTTGCATCCTCAAGATGAACAACCGTTGCTTGAGATGCAGCTTGTTGGTTAGAGACTTAGTCATGTACAGACTCTCTAGTTTCAACCACAAGCCCGCGGCAGTCTTCTCAGCAGCGACTTCAATGATGACGTCATCAGACAACGATAGCATGATGGTCGAGTGGGCCTTCTCCTCCAGGGTATTCCACTCATCGTCATCGACCGCTGCCTTCTTCTGTTTCGCAGACAGCGGCCCCCACAACCCTTGCTGTTTTAATAAAGCCTGCATCTTGATCTGCCATATAGCGAAGCTGTTCTTCCCCGTGAACTTTTCGATCTTCATGTTCACCGACGTCATTCTTCTGAATCGAAAACCCTAGCCTGATTTCCAGCCGCGGCTCTGATACCACTTGTTATAAACGCGCTGCTACGGATCGGGAAATAGCCGGAATCGACAAAGCAAGAATACGAAAGCGAGAATCGAAAACACAGACACACGATTTACGTGGTTCACTAACACGATGTGTGTTAGCTACGTCCACGGGCGAGAGAGAGCCAGTTTCACTATATCGAGGAGATTACAGATTACAGAGGAGTATGAGAAGTATTTATAGTACTTCTCCATGTGGGTCTAAACCTAATCCAATCTGGCAAAGGAAACGGTTACAGACCAGGCCCAGAACCCGAACCCAAATAACATTGAGAACATATACCGTGGGCTGATTACCAGTCGTAGCGGCTGATAATCCGATTCAAGTCATATCAACAAATCTCCACCTTGACTTGAATCCTCTTCCTCTGAAATCTCTGATGTACTCTGCTCCTTCTATCTCTCTCCCGCCATCAATTCCCCGCAGGGCGGAGTCACCCACTCAAGACATTCAGCGAGACCCCCGATTACCAGTCGTAGCGGCTGATAATCCGATTCAAGTCATATCAACAATGACGATGAGGCGGGTTTGCCTAAACCGTGCTCGCTTTCAAATATCTAAACTTGTACCCACCTCATACCCATGTGGGGTAAGGTTTTACAAACCCATCCCCATATTCGTGGGTTTAGGGTACCCATGGTAATATCCTCCCCGACCCGTACATCCAATATGATTATACCTAAGACTTTACATGTAAATTTTCAATTATAATGCTAAACAGACCTACAATATCATTAAGTCAACAAAGATACAATCATTCTTAATACGGTTCAAATCGTATGAACCTAAAATTAAAACTATTAAGTCCCAAGTTCCACAAAAATCGGAGTAACTGTTCATTAAGAAAAAATCGGGATTTACTGTTCACCTTAGGTTTAGGTTTGGTAGGAACAAACATAGCTAAGCCCGAGTGAGTCAATTTGGGCTGGCCAAGAGAGAAGAATGGGTCCACATAAATTTGCCGCACCAGATCGCCTCTCCTTTCCTCTTCCTTATCCTTTCCACAGTTCCCCGTAAAAAGAAAAACAAACAATGAAACAGAGGCTGTTTGAGATGCGGCGTCCTCCAGTCTCCACGACCATACCTTCCTCTCCCATTTCTTCTCTACGAATCAATAGATGGAGCAGAGACCTTGGACCTGGAAGGTTAAGCGACAACTTGCCGAGCTCCACAAATTCAAAAGAAGCAGAGGAAAGGGCTTATGGACGAAGGTTGACCAATCCGACATCGGTTTCCACTGGCAAACTCCTCCGAGCCGCCACTCTTGGGTAACCGGTACCCGCCTCGATCATCCTCCTAAAATCCCCAGTTCCCTTTCCGGCTGCTCGACTCCAAGATCCGGCACCCACTCCGTGATTTCTTAGTACCGTTGTTGTGTTATCAAGCTTTAGGTGTGTCAAATCCTTATATTCCTCTTGGTTCTATATTCTTCCTCTATAATTTGAACTAATTTTGAATTCAATCCATTTCTCTCTTTTTTCAATATTGACACGATTTTTTAGTTAGTCTTTCACAATTAATCACATTCATCTATAAGATACTATGCTGCTTGGACTCTGCAATTACACTTTGTATACCACTGGCCATGATCTTCAAATTATTAGAATTATTAATTCACAAGTTTAAAGCACTGTTCCTTACGAACTAATAGGGTTTGCCATAATTAGATTACACTGTTCATCAGGAAATGGATTTCTTGCGGTAAGCTCTAATTTATTTCCTAGCTCTTTACTGTAATGTTTTGTTGGATTGGCCAAGTGAGAGTTTCAACCTTTTTCTTGCTGACAACTGACAATTTCCACCAAGCAAAGCCCATTGTCTTCTCCATTCCACCATTTTTATTCCAACATTTAGAGATTTATAATAACGATTCCAACTTTTTATTGGTAACCATAATAAAAAAGCAAGCATAAAAAAATCGTACAGTATTGACGGTCCGATCGAAAAATCTTCTATCGAATTTAAATTGGTAGGTTTTTTTAGCGCTATGAAATGGTTATATAACGTTTAAACCACAGTTTTAGAACAAAAAAACATACCGCTAACTTTTTCAGTAACACCCAATTTCACCACGATTTCTTTTTCTCCTCTAGTCAACTACATTTTTTTTATATTTCTGAGTAATATCAATAGAGGACAAGAGTTATTCATACAAATCTACCCAGGACCCCTTACAATATAATCTAATGAAGCCACCCCAAAAAATCGAAAGATTCTAGCTCTAGACGAGACAAAAGCAGTGCTTTACGCGCCACTCTATGGGCAACACTGTTGGCAGTTCTAGGTACCGCCCTAAACTCTATACAAATGGACAAAGAGCTAAGGATCTGACGTCACTCTCGAAACCCCAGACCACCAATCGAGTCTTCTAAGAAGCCTTGCCGGATCTGCTTGACGACCACTTCGGAATCACCTTCGACTTGCGAATCCAAATACATTACGTAAAACTTATTATTAGCTACAATGTTCATTATCTCACCAATTTGTATTACGCAAAAGTTCTGTAAGATAACATTTACATAGTAGTTTAATAAGATGTGATACTTAAAATAACTTACCTAATTTTATCATTAGACCACGCATTACAAAAGATTTACTTAACGTACATTTTATAACAATTATGTAAATTAAAAATTCATACACAATAGAGGGATAATCATTCCTTATGTATCAATTGAACATAGCTTATCAAATAATTCTTTCGTAGCCATAAGTTCCTTCTCCTCTATTGCAACTATATTTGCGAAATACAAATACATTAAATAAAAGTTATAGAGTTACAATGTTTATTATTAGAAAAATTACTTGGAACATAGCTTATCAAATTGCGTTTTTCTCAATTTTGCATGATTTTACCATTAGACCACACATTACGAATAATTTACGTAATATCGTTCTATAACACTGACGCAAATGAAAAATTCATTCATAAAGCTTATAGAGATATAATTATTTCGTATATATCAGTTAAATATCATGTATTAAATAAATCTTTTGTAATGACTAATACACTACGTAAAAGTTATGGAGGGATAATAATTTGTCTGTATCAATTAAATAAATATAATACATAAATTCTCCGTAGTATAAATTTGAATTAAATTCCTAAAATTTAAGTAAACTATTAATCATCTCATTAATTTGCATTATACATAAATATTGGAAGGGAAGTTAACTTTACATAACAATTCAATCATAGATTATATTATTAGTAACTTAAGGAAGTATTTTTCCCAAACTATTTTTGAACTTTTAATTTCAATTAATTTATTAAATCAACTAATGTAATTTAAAATAAAATTAGTTTTCACCGCAGCAAAGCGTGGGTCAAAAAACTAGTAGTTTTAATTGTGAAACCATCGTACTTGCATACTATAATCAAGTATGGTTGATGCAATGACCCTTGCATGGTTTGGTCGTTTCAGTTGCTTATTCGGAGGAAATTGATCATTACTTATACTTCAGTTTCTTGGCTGTGTCTCGACAAACAAAGTAAAGGAAAAGCTCATTAATTCATGCCGCTGTGAGACACGACACATAACTTGGGAGGAGGAAGAAGAAGAAGGATGAGGCGGTATCAACAAAATCGAGTGGCTTACTACTCTGGCAATGTTTCTCCTCCTAGCTCTGCCGGGAACCAATATCCTCCAAATAGAAGTGGAACAATGCCAAGAGCCGAGTCATTGCTTTGGAGAAAAAGTGGGCATCGTTGTCCAATTGGCAAGCGGCTAAGATCGGGTTTTTTAATATCTTCCACACCTACAGCTACAGGTTGGGTTGAACTCCCTTTTTACACAGACCCTTCTTTTGATAAATTCAGCAACTACTTAGGTTGGAGAATGGTTTGAGATGATAGGATCATTTCAAGTAGTCCAACAATAGTATATTTATTCCTCTTTTTCTTTCCACCCTGGATAGACTTGGGACATTGACCATTGTTTTGCCCTGGGGTAGCTAAGACTAATTCCAAAGTCAGCAGTACAACGTTTGTCTGTAAGGTGGATTCAAAATATTTTCCACAGAGGTGTTTTATCAATAGCAATGCTGCTTCAATTCCTATGCTATGTGTTAGAGGATCAGGCCCAGCTCGTTTACAGTACACGCACACATTCCACTGCCGGCAATGCTTCTTAGGATGTCCCCGTTCATGACAAAAATGGCACTCAATATCATTCGACATAGGTTTGTTATTGAATGAGGGACGATTTACCGAATATGCCGATTCTTGGCCAGCCACAGCAAATACGGTTTCTCCAGCACTAGGGAAACATCAATATTCGCCTGGGTACGAATCCTGATTTCTTCACGAACCAAATGGGAAAGCAATCCCTCAAACCGCAAGTCGTCTCTGTTCAGAAAGGTGGAGCGCGCAGCCTCGAACTCAGGTCGAAGGCGCATGAGGAAGTTGAGCAGGCGAGTTTGCTGCCGCTCCTTGACCGCGTCGGCGGAGACAGGCTGGGGATGCAATGCGGCGGTGAGAATGTCCTGTTCCGTCCACAATTCCGTCGCATTGTTATAGTATTCAGTGATCGTGCGATCCCCTTGCTCCAGCCGAGCCAATGCCATCTGAATCTCAAACTGCCTTGCTACATTGACAGTTGAATACGTCGATGCCAGGTGCTGCCACATTTCGTGGGCTGTGGGAAAAAGTCTTAGACTCAGACATGTTGATGGATCAACTGATCCCAGCAACCAGTAACGGACGCGCGCGTCACTTTGGTTCCATTGTGCTTGCTCCTGAATCGCGGCAGTAGGTAGTGGACGAGGGCATGTGCCATCGAGAAAGCTCAGGAGGCCGCGTCCTTCAACGAAGACCCGAAATTGAAATTCCCAGAGAGCGAAGTTTGTGGAAGTGAGCCGAACCAAAGGTCTATCAGAATCCATTGACGAAGTATGCTCTGATACCATGATAGATTATCCGGATTTGATGTTGACGAACTGAACGAGAATGAAAAGGGAAACAAAAACTAGACACCGGGTTTACGTGGTATCCCTGGAGAATCCAGGACTAATCCAAGGAAGAGTGAAAACTCTTCAAGCTACTAATCTTATTGTTTAGGTTTTCTGTACATAACTCACAGCCACCATTCTCTCTATATACAGCAAGGAAAACGAAACCCTAGGGCCACTCTCTCCACGTTACACGAGCTGCCCTTGCATGGGCTTCATGGGTACAATAAATGGGCTGTACACAAAAGAGAAAAAGTGGGCCTGATCCTCTAACACTATGTTCCAAAAGCAGTTTTTTTCGGTCAAATTTTATCATTCTATTTCTCCTCGGTGTTTTCTGTTTCTAATTACAAGAGAGTAAGTCATTTTACGATGGGTATTAAATGATAATGAATTTGTTTTATTGTTTAGGTACGATTAGTTAATGCATGAGACAAGAGTTGGGGGGAACAAATTACACAGCTCCAAAAATCTTCAATCCAACATTTCTCTATATGCCTATTGCGGACATGATTCTCTTTAACTCTTTCATTGTTGTTGTTATTACAAAGTAGAGTATTAAGATTCTCGGCAATAGCTCGTTTCTCATGCTTGATATGATCTTAAACAAATGAATGGTTTTAATTAAGCTGCTCTTTCTTTGACAAAATAATAATAATAATAATAATAATAATAATAATAATAATAATAATAATAATAATAATAATAAGTTGCTCTTCCTATTGTCTAGATCACCGTATGCATCATAACAAACAACCCGTATCTGCAAGCTCTCGGCAGAAGGAATCTCATTGCTGTGCAAATGTTCATGAATCATGTCGAACAAGTTATCGGCAATGTGTCACGAGCATTTTTTATTTTTATTTTATGAACTTTAATTATATTTTGTTGTAATTATTTTACCCTTAAACCACTAACACTATGAATAATGATTTGGAGAACATTAAAATCTTCACCACATCAATGTGAGAATAACCAGCGTAGAGTAGGTGATACACTTCATTACATGGTTAAATTAAATTATTTTACATTTTCAACTAGATAAAACTATCGTATCCTCAATTTTTTTCTTAACTAGAACTATGTATTGAATACTTTAATCCTTCGTTAACATTCCATTATAAATTCAGGGATTAGCAATACAAACCCGTTGCGTAGCACGGGCTAATTATCTAGTATATATTAATTAATAAGATAGAGTATAATATTTTCCAAATCATTAGTTTCTAACTCTTATACATCTACTAAGTAATACTTAACTAACATAATTATCTTGTTAACAAGAGGAAAACGTGAAAGAATGAAGGGTGAACCGACGTAAAGGAATTATATTTGGATTTGGGTAGGCACTTAGTTGCATTTCTACTATAAGTTACCTTCACTATCATCGATAGGTTGCAATTTGATCCATGTATTTGTTGTATGTGAAGAAATATTCTTGGTTGGGTGGGGGAGGCTAAAACCATACCCGCCCTATACCCATCAAACTTTTTTGCAAATTTTACTCATACTGAGTCAGTGCGGAGATTCCCCACGAACCACGTTGACTGGATTAAGGGCGATTGGATATACGCAGTCGTTGGTTTGATTGTCATCCCTAATTGCGGGTCAGTTTCTTCCCAAACCAGTAATCCACCATTCATCTTATGCTATTTCAGTTCCTGGTGTCGAGCACTTATGATTCGGTCTTCAAGGGTGGACCCAGGCATTAAAGGGAGAAATCTCATGTTCCTTCCCGGACAAGAAATTGGGATTCAAATTTCAAGCTATGGAGAAGCAAAATGCAAGATTAGGAAACATATATTGTGATCACTTATAGAGGAAATTATGATTAAGTGTTAGCTATTTAAACTTATATATACATCATAATTGCTCATAATTACAATCTAGTCCATCTCTGTAAATTAAAATCCTCTTACGCACTCCGAAAAAGTTACAACATAATATAGTCTCTAAAATCTCAAATCATTATACAAACGTGTCTTTTTTCCCCCGTAGAGCTGGATCGAGACAATTTAAGGAATTTGAGTAGTCATCAGCTCCGATTTAATTAATTGATTAACTCTAAACAGTTGCCAGGCCAAATCGATGATCAAGCCAAACTAAGATCCTTGAGACGAAGCATCAATTAGCTTTACCTACAAAATGTTTACGAGGAAATGAGCATATATATCACATGACCAAATCTCTTCTGGGCTACTAGTTCTTTTTGTTAACTTTTTTTTTTGGTGTAATCGCTCGATCGATCTACCCTTCTGTCGCCCGGCTCATCCCTCCTTCAATCGCCGGAGCTGTCGTCGTAGCATATCTCCGGTTCTTCTCCATGTTCCCGTACCATCCTAATCATCAATAAAAAACAATCGATAATGACAACAGGACGTATACTCGAATTATTGAGACCAGTCAGTTTAACGACCTTAATATTAACCATTGTCTTAAAGCACATAATATAGCGGGTCTGTGTGAGTTGGTTTTCGTTTGAATGCGAGCTTGTATGAAAGTAAATAAGGACTCACATATGAATATGTCCCAACAACTCGAATTATTGGGACCAGATTAACAGAAACTATATATATCTAGAGGAAGAGAGGAATAGGGATATAGTGAGTGCTGACCGATGGACAAATCGAAGCCTTTGTTCTGTAGCTCGCGGTACTCTTGGCAGAGAGCACAACCCTCGCAGAACAAGTGGACGAGGCAATCTGGGCAAGGCTGCTCTTCCAGGAACAACTGGCCTCTCATTTTGGAGCGATAGAAGCAAGACAATATGCAGGCGCACCCGAACATCCACAGCATCAATGCGTACACCGTCCCGCTCAACCCACATGCTGCAACCGGCCGGCCAATATCCATGCCCATGCACGTACGTACATTCGGTCGTTGTTAAATACGTAAACAATACGAGAGTTTAATTGAGTACGAGGTATTTAATTTGTTATATGGGCTTCGTATATGTTTAGTACGGGAGCCATCAAATGAACGGTACGTGTAATAAAATAGTTTGGTATATGACAATAGTATGAAAACGAAAGTTTTCAAACACATAAAATACGTTGTACGCGTATTAACGAAATATTTACTAGTTATTCTTTCACATGCAAATACCAGGGTAATTTGGGATATATAACATCCACCACACCCACTCCCCAGCCTATGTTCAAACCTTGGCTAACAAGCAACGAAAAAGATCACCTAAACTTAATACTAATTCGTAGGGATGGCAATGGATCGGGTCGGGGACGGATAGTGCATATCCGTTACCCTACCCAAAGCAGTCCGGGTTTTACCCATACCCATATAAGATATGGGTAGAGTAGTTTCTCATTATAACTCCAACCAATATGTTAATATTCACACTTATTCTCACGTTATGTAAGACGAAAAGTACAATAATAATTCACTAGAATGAAGAAAATTAATTAAAGCAACACAATTTCATAAAAATATTATATTTATATGCTAAATATAAAATATGTTAGAGAAAAATATTGATTATTTCTAAACAAAATACATATGCTTGTGTATAATCAGGCGGGTTCGGGTTGGATGGTGAGAAAACCATGCCTATCAATTACCCACAATATTCGGATTCTGATTTTACCTGTACCCACTAAAAGTCGTTTGGGTTTTACTCTACCCGATTAGGTCGGATTCAGACGGATATCCACGATTACGGATATTTTTATCAAAAGTAAAACTATTATTTCAACCTCTGGAAACCGCGATCCTTTTTTTTTTCTCGCACAATTTATCCTTAATTCAAACAATTTGGACTTACATGTTTGTCCTCGGTCAACTATCTCGGCGATTCGCCCGAATGCAACGCATGGACACCATGCCGTCAAGCAACCTGTTCCACGATAGAGTTATCGTACAAAGTAAAACCAATCGGCCGTAGGTTAAATTTGGACAAGAAGAAGAATATGTATGTATGTAAATATCAATTAATAATTAATGACGAGGGGACTTACAAGAAGAACAATCGTCAAAACAATCGCAGAGGCCAGTGGACCACGGCAAAGGAGAAGCGTGATTGTGTGGGTTGACGGGGACGGCGGCGCCAGGAGGAGGAGGAGGAGCGAGGGGGAGCCGGCCGTTTACTTGGTCCGGAGGGACACCTTGGAACATGGGCGACGGCGGGTTTGGCGGTGGCGGGGTGGTCGCATTTTCATGCATTTTTTTTTTTGTATCTTCGCCGGCTGTGTCGATCTCCGTTTCGATCACAGCCAAAATCGACGGGGTAAGATACGAAAGAAAAAAACACAATGAGTGGAATCGGTGGGTAATAAAAAAAAAAAAAAAAGGAACGAAGTAGAATATAAGAAGAATCGTCTCAACCACTTATGAAAATGAAGGGGCAATATCTCTTGAAAGAGTTGGGTGGTTGTGAGCGGTTGAAGTACAAGAATTGATTTGTTCACTATATATGGCATGGTCTCTCTCTCCTTCTCTCTCTCCATTTCCCGCCCTGTGGATGACCACCCTTCACGGTTTCACAATCTTTTTTTTTACAGTAAAGATTCACTTTTATTCCACCAACTAAAAAAGAGAAACGATTGCTACGTCAGTTATCATAGTAAATCAGAAATTAAATCAAGAATATATATTGATCCAATTGTCAGGAATCGTTGAGCGAGCCATCGAATGAGCAACCCAATCGGCTCGAGAGTTGAACTTTCTCGCCACATATTTAATCTTGATTCTCGGGTTCGTGCGAAGAATTGCAACCATGGATCCCATCAATGTTGCACATCTCCAAGGCCAAAGTGAAGGGTCATGAGGCAGGGCATGGGTCATGATCTGGCAATCAGATTGGACGATGTAATCGGAATCATATTTTTGTGCTAATTTGAGACCTTCAAGTAAAGCTCTCATTTCAGCTTCCATCGGGGTAGAACAAAGGAAAGTGTCAGCTCGCCCATCACATACTTGTCCACGATGGTTAACAGAAACCACACCATAAGCCGTCGGTTGGGAGTCGTTTATAAACTTGGCGGCGGAGTTGTATGAGTCTGGGCTCCCCTGAGCTGATTGGGGTGAGTAGGGATGAGGGTGGGGTCCCTCGGACATGATGTCCACTCCATGAAATCACGATAAGTTTGGAGGCAGATATTCGGGGGCCAAGGGATTCTGTTCTTGAAAATACATTCATTCCTTGCCTTTCAAATATTCCGGCAAAGGAAAACGATATGAGTCAGGCATCGAGGCTCGACCGTGTCTTTCATGGAACAGAACCAGTCGAAGAAGGAGGTATTTTGAGATGGGAGAGGAAGGGAGGGGAAAGTGTTGATCCAAGAGCTTACTCCATGAGGGCATGCGAAGAGGCAGTGGAAAAGGGATTCGTTTGGGTTCTGGCACACCTGACATGTGGCGTTAGGGGAACACTTGCGATGACACAACCTCTCCTTTGTTGCCAGTCCATTCTTAGAACACCTCTAAATGAAGAATTTTAACTTTGGTGGGAGATGAAGTCCCCAGATCCACTTCCATAATTTCGGGTTCCCCGTGGGCATGATATTGACATTCACCTTATGGATAGCGTGGTAGGCCGTCCTAACAGTGAATTTTCCTCCGGTTGTGAGTTTCCATGCCTAGAAATCCTATGCATCCTCTTCCCCAATTGGGATTCTCAAAATAGCATCCAATTCATTGCTTGAGACATTAATTACCTTCAATGATCTCAGTGTTCCATTTTCTTTCTCCCGGATCAATCCAATCCTTGACCTTCAAGTGTTGTTGAGGTCCACTAGCAAGACTTGCTCTTTGAATGTTTGGGATCCAAGGGTCCTGATCCAACCATGTATCTTCCCCTGCTCCAATTACTCTAATTGTACCAAGTTGAAAGACCTTCTTAGCTTCCCACAAACTAGCCCAAATCCAGGAGGGTCTGCTTCCTTTCTTTGCTGAAAGGAAATTACTTTGAGGGTAGTAAAGTTCTTTCAGCAGACGACTCCACAGCGAATCGGGGGAGGTAAGCAGGCGCCATGATTGCTTGGCCAAGAGGGCAAGATTAAAGTCTTTGAAACTTCGGAATCCAAATCCTCCTTCCGTTTTAGGAGCACACAAAATCTCCTTTTTGTACCAATGGAGGGAGCTCTTCTGCATCGAACCCGACCAGAAAAAATTGCTAAGAAGAGAATCCATTTTTTTCGTGAGAGCCACCGGGAGGAGAAATATACACATGATGTAAGAAGGTATAGCCTGGATAACTGCTTTGAGGAGGACTTCCTTTCCTCCATGGGATAGGAGTAAACTCTTCCAAGCTTCTCCCATTTTTTTCCATCCTTTGGATTAGAAACTGGAAAGTTTCTTTTTTTTAGTTTCCCAATTTCGTCGGCACCCCCAGATACTTGGAGCGACAGCTGGAAGCAGCAAACACAATGTGCTCAATGATACTGCTTTTGTCATTATTTGGGACATTTGCACTGAAGAAAATGGAGTATTTGGAAGTATTGACCTCTTGTCCAGTAATAGTTCCGTAGTCTTTAATAATGTCCAGAATATTTCCCGCTTCCTGCTGGTTGGCCTTCCCAAAGATGACTGTATCATCTGCAAACAGGCAGTGGGTGAGGAATGGGCACCGAGGATTGAGCTTAATGCCTTTAATGCATTGATCAGCAACTACCTTATCAATAAGAAAAGTAAGAGCATTTGACATTAAGATAAAAAAGAAGGGAGATAGAGGATCTCCTTGACGAATGCCTCGAGTGGGACAAAAAGTCTCGGTGGTTTCCCCATTGAAAAGAATGGAGAATTTGACAGAGCAGATGCACGCTCGGATCCAATTCCGCCATCTTTCTTCAAAACCATACTTCTCGAGGAGAGTTTCCAGGTAATCCCATTCAACCATGTCGTAGGCTTTCTTCATATCCAGCTTAAGCATCATATCCCTTCTATTCCCCTTCTTGTGGTTTTTGAAGTGGTGAAGTGCCTCATGAACAATGATGATATTATCTTGAATGAGTCGACCCCCTGTGAAGGCCGTTTGAAGCTCCGATACTGGAGTTGGGGTCCATTTCTTCAATCTGGTGGCCATAATCTTAGAGATAATCTTATACCTGAAGTTGCAGCAGCTTATAGGACGAAATTGGCCAATAATCTTCGGATAATCAACCTTTGGGATCATAACAATATGAGTATCATTCCACCCTTTAGGCATCGTCGCTGTTTCAAAGAACATCTTAACTTAAGGGTAATTTACATAAACTGGATAAAGACCGGATAACCAGGACCGAGACCAGATAGTAAACAATCCAATCTAATCTTTGGGCTTAGATTTGAGGTAAAAAACCGTTCGGGACCGGATCAAAAACTGGATAAATACCGGATAAGAGAGCTCAACACCCAAAACTTAACCAACTCCTCACCATTTCAGGCCTTAGGCCACTCAAATCCTCACAAGCTCAATATAAAATCAAGACCGAATTGGGACCGGACCGGATCAAGACCGGACTGTATCCAATCCAATCTTTGATCCTTATATTTTCAAAAAGACCGGACTGTACCGGATCAATTTGGGCCAATTTAATTGGACCGGACCATATAGCCACCCCTACCCAAGACTTAGGGATGTCTCCACCATCAGAATGTTAGACCTAGTTCCATCTTCTCCAATGAACATACTTGTCTCCATCGCCGCCGCTACTTTGTCCAAATCCAGATCGAGTCTTCTAGCCCCCATCTCTTCCCCTGTACCTCCCTTGCCTTCTGTCTGGTGTGCGATTGTCACCGTTTGTTGGAGAGATGACTAGGGGTCTGTGGCTTCTTTCAAAACCGGGCGGAATGGATTGTTCCTCCGTACTCTGTGTCAGATTTCTAGTTGTTGTCCTCTTTCTCGCTGCTACACTCTCCCCCAAGCGAAGCGTCCCCACCTTTAGAGTCTTGTCACCGCCCCCTATCCCGCTAGAGCCTTCTCCTTCACTTCTACTGGTTATGCTTCTGTTCGTGCTCGCCAGAGAGAAGCTTTGCGGCGAGTCAATTCCAGCCTTCAGGGACGCATTGTAGATGTCAGACAGAGCTACCTCTTTGTTATTCTTCCTTTCCTTGTTCATTCTCTCACAGGTTGGCCAGTTATGGCTTATTCGTCAACAAAAATAGCAAAGCTCCACCAGTCGCTCGTACTTGAAACTAATCCAATCACAGTACTCAATTCTGGTGTCTTCATCAGCAAAGGGGAAGTCAAACCCAGTTGGAATAGGTTCGTTGATGTCGACCTCCACCAAGACACTTGAGAAGATATGGTATCCATTAAAATCCAGCCCACATCTGTCAAGGTCTAGAAGTTTGGGGAAGTAGTAGGTGCCGATCGACTCCACATTATTCTCGACTCTCATCTTCTCGTGTAATCCATGGATTTGCACCCATATTGCAAGCCGATCCATGGGAACCTCAGCTGGCATACCCCTTCCATTCCATTTTTTAGTGCAGTGAGTGTGTTTGAAAGGCTCTAGGGGCGGTCCAGCCAGATTCTTTCTCGGATTGCATCAGTGGGGAATGTGAAGATAAAGGAGTTCCTCTTGTCTTGTATTGGTTGTACTCCAATCTCTCCATATTTTCCCCAAGCATATCGGGCAGTCCCGCAGCTTTGGCTGGTGCAATCTTGTGCTCGGAGAGGAGCTTCCCTATCATCATAGAATTTCCGCTGCCACCAGACAGGATGAGATTCGGTCGTCGAGTTGTGTTGAGCTCCTTAGTGCGAGCAAGAAGGTTGGTAATATCCATGGTGTGAGTCTGTATTATGGTTTGGAATTTTGATTAGCTTGGAGGTTTTCTTTCCCCTGAATTTTCTCTTATACTTACTGCCTCTCTTAGCTTTAATTTCTAAGTAGTTGTGGATTAGGTAACCAATTCGTGGAGCGGGAGTGGGAGCGAGAGCGAGAAAGCGTCTAGTTTTCAAGGACTTAAAATTAAGAGCGTGATGAGAGTGTTATTTTTATATTAATATAATTAATTTTTAATAATAAAAATATTTTCATTATTATTAAGGACAATAACAAAATCTTATAAATTGGTTAAATTACTCACTCACTTTACCAATTCAAAATGTTTTAATTTGGAGATTAATGATACTTCCCCTTTTCTTATCAAAATTGTCAAAATTGTACCCCATGCAACCAAGCTCAATGCTTATACATTCCACCACGAACCTACGTATGCATGGAATTGAAATTGGCTCATGTCAAATGGAAGAGTACAAGCTTGTTACCTTCAAATAATTTTGAATTAGTGAATAATATTTTACTGGTAGAAAAAGGAACATTTTCTCCGCTAGAGGGAAGGAAGATTCATTTTTTATTGTATTCTATTCCCACTAATCATTATTATAATAATACGTACATAATAAAAAAAATATCTAATTATCAAAAAATAAAAAATATATGATAATGATAACACACACTGACATGCGCACAACTGAAGACCCAATTAACCCTAGGTCCCTAGCACCCTTATCTTTATCCTTTTCTCTTCCTCTCCTTTATTCTTCCCCCTTCCTTTTTTCTCCAGCTCCACCGCCATTTCCATATAAGATTTCCTTATGTTGTGGCGGCTGTTGGTCATGGAGATTTAGTTGTCTTTATTTAGATCGATCCTTTGCCGCAATCGAGGAATTTGGAACCGACCCTCTTCTGTAGCTTCAGCGACGCCATGGTTCCCGTGCTTCCTTTCTCTCCCTCTCTTCTACTGCAGCTACGAAAATCACTCCACTACCATCACAATCTCTGTCTATTTTTTGGTTCGTTTTCCCTTCTCTTTGAACAAGACGTTTGGATTTTGGACGGAAAAACGTTCAATCTTGATTTACTGTCCTCGCAACCTGAATTCGTCACCAGAGGGTGGCGCTAGAGCTCATAGAATATGGCACTTGACTTAAGTTTTGCCTCCAAGATCCAATTCGAGCTTTCCAGATAACAAATCGCGCTCTATTGAAAACTAATTCGCGAATTCCTCACGATTTTTGTGAAATTCGTGTTTAAGAGCGGGATCGTGGAGGCAAGTTAGGCGAATTGGGTGACATAAGTTGTGGAGGATATCCATCTTATCAAGCTTTAAATGTAATTTTCTCTGTTTGCTTCCCTCTCTTTTGCTTTCCTTCCTGAGATTTGGCTCTAGGCTCAATGTCTCGTCTCTTCTTCTCATAAGGATTCTCATTACAAATCTTCCTTGAATGCTCTATCAGGAACTCATCTAGGAGTCTCTCTACTGACATTTTCCTCTTCTTAGTCCCTGCCTTTGAGTTTTTCAGTGGGTTTCTCTTAAATGTTTCCCTCTTGATTGTTCGTTCGCCAGCTGCATCAGGGGAGTAATTGGGTTTTTGATCTGTCAGGAGGCTCCCATCTTTTCATTTTCTTTCTGGATCTAAAATCCCTTAGGCCTGCGTTTGGTACTATTGTTGTTGGGTAGTTGAGGAGCAGAGGCGAGTTAATGCAATTCTTCTTCAGATCTGTGTGGGATTTCCCTCTTCTGAAGTAGATGTAGATGTGGATTTTACACTGCTTTGATGAATAAGTTTTCGTAGACTCAATTAATGATAGAGAGAGAACTAGTGTCTGGTTCAATAATGATTCAACAAGAGAACTAGTGTCTGGTTCAGAGAAACTCTCCAGAGAGAAAGCAAGAGATAGATATATATATATATAGAGAGAGAGAGAGAGAGAGAGAGAGATGTTTGTTGTTGCATGTGATTCCCTTAGATGGGAATGCTGATGAGATGGGATGCTAACCATCCTTTGGATTAGCACCGTAATAACCAAACCCATCTATGTTCCGTCAAGTTTTAGTAAATATAATGTTTGTTTTATTAGAGGGCCATTTTGGGTATGTGAACAGGGGATCCCTGCCATGGCATGTGGCATTTGTGGAGAAATCCAACCGTCTTTCCCTTTCAGTCATATTTCTTCTTCTCTTTCCTCTCTAGTTGCCTCTCTTCACGAGCGACCCATCAGAATATTAAAAACTAAAATGCCTTGCCATCACCGACGTCTTTGCCTTCTTAGTCATCCTCGCCTCCCTCCACTACGTCATCGTCTACTTCAGGCTCGTCTGTGTCACCATCGTCTGCATCGGCATGGCCTTCTCCTCCGCCGCCCTCGCCTTCGGCGGCGCGGTGTTGCATCAACCTCGCATGCATCGCCTTCGACTATTGTCAATTTGGAGGCCTTCGGTTGTAGATGTCCGGGTGAGTTGAAGTTATGTTCATGAGGCCTTTCGGTGGGTTTAGAATTCCAGATCTGTCCTCTTTCTTTTCCTACTCTTTGTTCAGATCTAGATTAGTAGTGATTTTCAAGATTGGTAGTTTGAAAAGGGAGTAGTATTTTTCTTCAGATGTAGTAGTCTTTTGTCGACGCCATGTTAGTGTAGTTCAGATTTTGGTGGGTAATGATTCTGAAGGTTCGTACTGATTCATGATTGTCTGCGGAGGTATTGTAGTGTTTCTTTGGGTGTCAGTTCAGATGTAATAGTGATTTCATTGTTAGTAATGTTTTTAGCGTTTATCTTGTTAGTAATTTTCAATGTTAGTAGTGGTATTTCTTGTTAGTTATTCTCATATTAGTAGTATTTTTTTTGTTATTGATTTTCAATAATTACTAGTGTTCATGAATGCTTGAGATCCTTTCAAAATATTGTAGCAGTGTTTGGTAGTGTTAGTGGTGGTTTTCTTGTTAGTTACTCCCATATTAGTAGTATTCTTTTTGTTATTGATTTTGAAGAATTCGTAGTGTTTATGAATTTTTGCTCGAAATATCCTATGTTTGGCCCGGCTTTTAGAAGTGCTTTTCGGCTTCAAAAGCTGAAGCAGAGCCAAACACCTGTAAAATCTCGGCTTTTGAAAAGCCGAAAAGCGCTTTTGTATAACATAAAAGCAGAAGCTCGGATTTGGAGCTTCTGCGAAAAGCTGTTTTGAAAATACAAGATTATCCTTACCATATTTTAATTTTATTTCAGAAAATATAATTTTTCTGCATTTATACCATTTTAAAAATAAAATAAATTATAAAATTATATTATTTAACATAAAAGAAATCTAACAAGATCCATTTTGACTACTTTTTATTGTTTAGAATTTTTATTCATATTTTATATTATAAGTCCTATATAGTCATTTTACACAACCTCTCATATTAAAAAACACTTCTAATAGTTTTACAGCCAAACACTCAACTGCTTTTTTTGAAAAGTACTTATCTAAAAGCTCCAGCCAGAAGCTGCTTCTGCAAAAGCTACCGCAGGTCCAAACTAAGCTATAGTGTAGTAGTATTTATGCTATTATGATAATGTGTTAGTATTATTTTTATTTTTTGGAATAGCAACGTCTCCGGCGGAAATCCCACAAAATCCGCCCTTGCAGTTTCCCATAAATCAATATTAATTATGATTTTTAATTTTTTTCTATTAAATTCAGATTATACCCTTTCTCTAATAGTAGCCATCATAATAAAATATAAGTGAACGGTTTAGATATTAGTTAGGATGGTGCTAACCCCTATGGAGTTAGCACCCTAGCTTCTTCCATGTATGGCTTAGCCTGAGTTTGAGTGCATATTCCAAGGTTGTCAACGCAGTTGCAATATAACATTGGCTCGGTCGATAAAGTGGGTTAGGGGTTAGTTGTTGAATCAATTTAGTCTGTTTAACTCGAATATGTGGAAAAAGTCGTTAAAAAATGGTCATACTTGAATACAGCATTTAACATCAACATCAGAACATATACACTTGAATCCAACATATGTTGAACATAACTAACATATTAAAATCCAACATATATATAACATCAACATTCCACAATCTGAATTTAAAATGTAAAACCCAAAGTACTTAATAGTATTTTCAAAGATAAAATCAGTATTCACGATATCTACTACATCAAAGATAAAGGAAATCTTTCCGTTAAAAATAAAAATAAAATAAAAATATAAAGAAACTCTCTTGTCCGCAAGGCATAAGCACAACTCAATATATATTTCTAGTGTAGTTGTAGTGAGCCCCATTTATTTTTCTAGTTAACTTTGAACGTGCATAATCAATAATTTGGCTATAGTAAATTGTTTTCGAAAAACATTTGATTATTGTTTTTCTTATAATGAAAAATTTGGCTATTATATGTTTCACATATTATTATAATAAGTGAAAGCAGAATCAATAAAGATCTAAAATAATTAGTGGGGGGCTCCGTTGATATTTTGGTTTTTCTACTTGTCCATATCTGTTGGGATTATGGAATTTGTTTTTAGTTGGGGACAAGAGTTTTCCTTTTGACCGAAGGATGAGTATTTTTGAGGCGGTTTTCCTTTGCATAAGTGCCCTATAAATAAGTAATAGATAGATAGATTTTTTTGGTGAAAGACGATAGATCGATTGCGTTTACTTTGAGGCAGGGTTCGGGGGTTGCAGAGCTTGGTGGCGGTTGTGAGAAGGAAGGATATCGGAGAAGCTAATTAGCGAGCAGTTGCAATTATTGTGCGATAATGTTCCTGGCTAGCAGCATGCTAGTATTCGTTGCTGGGACACGGCATTACCAGCCGGTCACACCTCCAGAAAGGGAATTGGGCGCCGGCAACGGGGGATCAGTCTACCATCACTGGCTTTACCCGACGACGAGCCCCTGTAAAGCAGGTTTCGCCGGCGGTGCTTCAGGTAATTGGTTTCATTAAATTTGTTATCCGGCCAATTAATTTTCTTCTTCTTCTTCATCTTTCGTCAGGTCACGGTCCTACTAAGTACTAACTAGAGCAACGTACGCACGGTTCTACATATATGGACTGTGGTCTATCTGATTGTTTGCAGATTCTGGCTACAAAAAGTGCAAGCGAACTTCTCTCGCAAGTTGGGGTGTAGACAACAGAGCTGCTAATGGTATGAAAACTGAATAAGAATTCTGCTTTAGTTGGTGGATCCGCTAGCTCCTTTGAGTATTACTTTATTTATCATCATGGACCTTACTTATTTCTTGTATGCAGTTGCTATTTCCCCTGAACCCGTGTTGACATCCAGCGATCCAGGCTATGCTGAGTGGCTGCAAGGGCAATATAATGAGTCATATTGCCACTACATAAGGTGTAGAATGTACAAGGCCTGTAATTAAGAATCTATAGATGGTACAACAGAACGTTATTAGCATGTAATCCATTTTTCACATCATCTTAATGTTTATTTTAATTATTATTTTTCTTAGCACATAAGTGCATGGTTTTTTTTACATCTATAAACTGCTGCAACTGCTTGCGATTTTTGTTAGACTAATGGTTGGTTTGTGGGTTTTGAAATCTGAAATTTATTGTGTTTATCGCGTTGGAATGTTATTTGTTTCTTAGTAAAAAGGGAAAATATATGGCATAAATAGTAGATCTATGGAAAGTGATTAATCACTATAAACGGATAGCAAGTAAGATAACGTAAAAAAAACGAGTAGATAAATTTAAACGAAATACTACTGTGTGGTGTGTATAATCAATATGAGTAGTTGACATATTTTAATGGTAATAATATGCTCTTAAGATGGATGGAAGATAATAACAAGTGATCAAGCATAAATCACTTAAATGGAAATGAATAAACATATTAGTTGGCACAGCAATATGATAAACGGGAACAAACAGAATAGGTGTGCAAACCGTAGTTTCATTATGGAAGGAGTAGTGAGTTACAAAGCAAACCTGGTATAACTCTTGATTTAGATCGCCCTTTTTCCTGCTGTTATCATCAAACCTTTGGATCAAACTCGTTGTAAAAGAAAGGTTTAAGGAAAAACCAGAACGAAAGTGTTCCTGTCTATGCGAATTTCTCTTGGTGTGTCCTGTTTTCTTTTTCTTCCCGAACAAGAACTGCAAAGCACCACTGATAGCAAAAATGCATGCCACATGTCACTGTCTGATTGGAGAGTTTTGAGGCTGCCTTTGGAAGAGCACCCCTATAGTTGTAGGTCGGTTGTGGATAAGAAGCCATTTCGGTTGGACTTCAATCTGGGCTCGAATTTATGGGCTAGAATTTTAGCATCTCTTGAACCTTGGGTCGTGTTGACTTGGGCTTAGACTTCAACTCCTCCAGGTCTGGGCCGAGTTTTTGGACTTGGAATCAGGGCTTGATCTGACTGGTTTTCTCTTATGTTGTAGGTCCCCTGGGCTGGGCCTAAAATGAGGGGCTAAAAAAAAGAACTAGTCTTTCTTTGTATATGTATAATTTGTAATGGCCCATGCACTTACATTTTCCTTCAATGTCAATGTAATTATCGATGCAAATTACGATGTAAGAAATCAATTAGCAAAGTATATTTTAGTCTTTACTGATTCGTGCTCTATATATTGTAATTCATATTCACATCCAAACCCAAAGCGTGCTAAATTCCTAATCTCAATGCGTATTCGAATTGATCATTGAATCAATATAGAACAAAAATTGATAATCATAGGTTCATATCGACTTGCTACTGCTAGTCTCAACCAATTCACTTCAAGTTACTTTTCCAAATATAATTGTAAAGCAATGTTACATCGAGTTGTTTTTTTAGTAGAATTATTATCCCGGACAAAATGTGGTGTCTACATATTCAAACTCTTGTTTCAATCATGAATAAATTGTCAGTTTGCCTCTAATTGCTTCTACATAGTGGTATAAGAGCAATCGCAGGCTGTAACCAAGAGCGAGTGAGGTGTGCGAAATTGATCTTGATCTGGGGTTAGGGAAACACGAGAGGATCAGTGAGGTTGCTTTGTTTTTTTTTTTCGGGTGAGAGATCTGTAAGGAACAGATTATGAGTGATCAAAGCTTTGCCCAGGTGGCCATTCCCAAATTCGACGGTGATTAAGATCACTGGAGCTTGGTGATGGAGAATCTGCTTCAATCGAAGGAACTCTGGAGTGTGGTGAATCCGGGATTCAATGAGCCTGTCGCTGTTGAAGAGCAGACTGCTACTCAATCCAAAACCCTAGAGGCAAGTCGGCTCAAAGATCTGAACGCCAAAAATTACATGTTCTCCTCAATCGACAAGAGCATTCTCAAGACGATCACACAAAAGGGTACTGCAAAGCAACTTTGGGATGCTATGAAGACTCGCTATCAAGGCAATGAGAGGGTTCAGAAGTCCAATATGCAGGGACTTCAAGAGATTTTGAGCTGCTGCAAATGAAGGAAGGAGAGTGTGTTGCAGACTACTTTGGAAGAGTCATGGTGATTGCCAATTATATGAGAAATTGTGAAGAAGATATGACTGACACGAAGATTGTGTAAAAGGTACTAAGAACTCTTACCGAGAGGTTTATTTATATTGTATGCTCAATTGAAGAATCTAAGGATACTGGGGAGCTGTCAGTTGATGCCTTGCAAAGCTCACTGCTAGTTCATGAGCAAAAGTTCACAAGGAACTCATCTGGAGAGGAACAAGCCCTTCAAGTTTTTGGAGGAGGACGAGGCAGAGGGTATGGTCGAAGTGGATACCAAGGTGGAGGACGAGGCAGAGGGCGAGGAAGAGCATGGAATCGTGAGATGGTAGAGTGCTTTAAATGCCACAAGATGGGGCATTATATTCGTGAATGCCCTGAGTGGAACACAGGAGCACACTACATTGAGTCCTCTGGTCAGGGGTTCAGGGATGATGTTCTGCTCATGGCATACACCAATGAATGCAAAGCTGAACAACAGAAGAAGATGGAGACGTGGTGGTTCTTGGATTCAAGGTGTAGCAATCACATGACTGGAGAAAAGTTATGGTTCATCAAGCTCAATTTGAGTTTTAAAGGAGATGTCAGACTTGGAAATGGTAGCAGGCTAGATGTGGAAGGAAAAGGAACCACCAGATGATGGTTGATCAAGTTCCCCTGGTGATTCAAAATGTGTATTATGTACCAAGCCTCAAGACAAAACTTCTAAGCATAGGACAATTGCAGGAGAAGAACCTGGAATTTTCTATAAAAAAATGGCACCTGCAAGATATTTAGAGAGCAAGGAACACTTCTTCTGCAGACAGCCATGAAGGCAAACAAAATGTTCATTCTGCAGGCCAATCATCCAAGTGAAGCTATGCTGAGAAACTTCTAGTGTTTGCAGGTTCATTCTGGTAAATCTGCTCCACTGTTGTTATGGCATAGGCGGTTTGGGCATATTAATACTCGGGGGACTGTTAAGGCTGCAAAAGCAAGAACTGGTTAGTGGTCTACCTAGACTAACTGGAGAACTTGGAGTATGTGAAACATGTATGCTAGGGAAGCAGCACAGAGCAAATTTCCCAAAGAAAAGTACCTGGAGAGCAAGCCATGCTGATCTCTGTGATCCCATTACCCCAGTTTCAAATGGTGGAAAGAGGTACATTCTCACCATCATCGATGACTACAGTAGAAAACTTTGGGTGTTCTTTCTAGCTGCCAAGTATGAAGCACTTACATGGTTTACCAAGTTCAAAGCACAACTCGAGAATGAAACTAGTAAAACAATAGTCTGTCTTAGAAGTGACAGGGAAAGGAAGTTTATGTTGAATGAGTTCAAACAACTATGTGACGAAGCAGGGATCAACGGGAAACTCAATCAGCTTTGACACCCCAACAAAACGGGGTTGCTGAAAGAAAGAATCGTGCCATCATGAACATGGTTCGCTGTTCCCTGAAGGACACCAAAGTTCCCTCAAACTTCATGCTAGAAGCTGTTGAATGGACTGCACATGTCCTCAACAGGAGTCCAACCTCGGCTAACAAAGGGAAGACACCATAGGAGATCTGGACTGGTAAGACTCCATCAGTTGATCACTTCAGAGTATTCGGATGTGTAGCATATGCACATGTTCATGACTTGCAGAGAAAGAAACTTGATGACAAGAGTGTTAAATGTCATTTTATTGGGATTTCCAATGAATCAAAGCCTACGAACTCTACAATCCTACCACAAAAAAAGGTAATGATCAGTAGGGATGTAGTCTTTGATGAAGAAAGGGGATGGAGCTGGAAGTATGATATACAACCTGTCCTCACTCAGATTTTCTGGGAAGGTAGTGAAGACCCCCGGTGTAACTCTGATGAAGAAGAAGAAGAGTTCACTGATACTATCAATCAAGGATCAAGAAAATGGGATACAATGCACTCTTTTTTTATGTTTAATGTACTCGCCTCATAATCGCCATTCTAAGAAGACTATTCATGTCAAAATAATATTAATCATCACTTGTGATATGATGGACAATAAAACACATTAATTTGCACAAAAATCACTCAAAATTTACTTTTATTTGAAGGACTTATAGTTAGGGGTTTAGGATTAGGGTTTAGAGTTTATAATTTGAGATTTAGGGCTAGGATTCAAAATTGAAGTTTAAGGGCTTAGGGTAATGCATTGATTAGTTGTGATCATATGTTAATCATCATGTTAGCCTAATGCTACCAATCAAATTTCAAAATTTGATGTCTTATGCTAATTTTAGAATTGTGTGGAATGAATGCACCCAAAAAATGAGTGCACTGAAGTAGTCACTTTATCATACTGGTGTACTCCTGGAGTATACTATACTCCAGGTACTCCTAGAGAGATATCTGCATTTAGACCTTGAATTAAACTTAGTTTTGGGTATGCTCCTATACTCTAACCTCTAATGGATAAAACTCATGCCTCGATTTAATATATTTCACTTGAATTACCTGAACTATAGCATAGTACAGTAGTACACCAGTCTGAACCGAACCGATTTAGCAGGAAAGTCTGTTTTGGTTTTCCGGTTTGATGGTTTTCGGGTTTGGGGACCTAAACCAGCACCCCAATCTGGAAGAGCATATACATGTTATAATGTTTAGTCTTTGTATCATAGCCGGAAAAAATCCAAAACTACCATTGTTAAAAAAGAAATTATAAAAATACCACCCATTCCCAACAATTTCCAAAAATAGCACCGTTTATTTAAAACCGTGCCTCTAAGGGGTGGTTAATATATAAACCGCACCACCAGGCTGCGGTTTACAATAGAAACGCCTGGTCAACAGGCGGTTTTCCTTTTCAGGTAAAACCGCTCTTCGAAGGCGCGGTTTATATGGCTGCCCTACCACAAAACGCTTCCTCGGAGAGCATTTATATGTCGGCTTGGTAAACCGCACCACCAGGCAGTGGTTTACCATGTGGACACATAAACCGCTTCCCCCACTGGTGGTTTGTGCCACGTAAACCGCTTTCCCCAGCTGCGGTTTGTGTCTGGTCACCCGACATCCAACATGTCGGCATGCAGGGGGTGGGGCTGCATGACAGACCTAAAACCGCTCCCCCCCCCCCCCACCGCGGTGTGTACTGTAAATTCGCCTCTAAAAGGCCATTCCAGAGAACTCAAAATCTTCACTCCTCCTTCTTCTTCAAATTTCGGTTGTGCACCTTTAAATAATTTAAATGTGTGTTTAGTACATGTAAGTGGAATTAAGTTTCAAATTTTTAGATGATTTAAACTACACATATAAGCTACAATTATACAAGATGATAAAAACAATAATTTTGTAAGTTTGACAATTGATACTATGATGAATCAGCGAGACAAATACATAATGTATTGAACTTAAAACGGAAACATAGCAAGTAAATACCATTTTACGACCACCTCAACGGCAAATGTTAAAAAACATTGAGACACCACTTGTCGAGAGAATAAACCATCATAATTAAATATGCTTTTCAATATGATGGTCAAAAGTCTCAAAATAAAATTGTCACTCAAATGACAATATAAAAGAACAAAACTCGTGGCAAAATTTACATTAGATTTCATTTACAGAATTCAACAAAAAATAATGAAGAATGACAATCTAGTCAACGTAAAATGATGCATCATAATCCGCAGGTTAAAAAAAATGATGTATCATATGTCAAATAATTGGGCAAGTGGATGACACATATGTACTGGATATATATTTGAATAACAATGCAATTCCATAATGCAAACTTTTGTATTCAACATGTCTGTAATTTGTAAAGCATGCACAATATTAACGACTAAAATAAGCATTCAAGTCCAACAATTCACATACACAAACACAATACAGAATTACTGATACAAGGTTCCAACGAGGAGTGATTGGACACAACAACAATGCTTTCAGATTGTTTGGACGAAAGAACAGCAGTATACATACGATGCAAAGGACATACTGCAGGAGCTAATCTTATGAATGAAAATTATTAAAGCATGCGCAATATTAACGACTACATGTCTCTCTAGACTAAGGGTTGTGTATGATGCAATTGAGAACACCTATAACTCCAATAATTCACATACACATAATTTGAGATATAGCAGTTTAACTGATAACCTGTATAAATATCCAAATGGAAAGAAATAGATAAAATAGCAACCCAGTAGTACTAAATTTTATCTCGGTACTCCATTTAATACACGTATATGTACCGTACATATTTTATCCATTTAAAATTTCCGTATTCGTATTCTTGTCATGTGTGCTGGAATTATGCAAAATTTGTTTCAGTTGGGGACAAGAGTTTTCCTTTTGACCGAAGGATGAGTATTTTTTAGGCGGTTTTCCTTTGCAAAAATGCCCTATAAATAAGTAATAGATAGATATTTTGAGAAATTTTACAATGCTATATAGTATTGGTGCTATAGGATTTTGCCTTTATGGTACAACTTAAAATTGTACATTTACGTTATGGTACAACTTTAGATTGTACCTATACTTTTTGTACAAATTCTTTTATGGTACAACTTGAACTTGTATCTTTATGTGATGGTACAATTTCAAGTCGTAAAGTTGTACCATAACATAATGATACAAATTGCTTTATGGTACAACCTAAACTTATACATTTAATGTTATGGTACAACTTTAAGTTGTACATTAAAGCACCAATACTATATAGCATAGTAGAAGTGCTCAGATATTTTTGGTGAAAGACGATAGATCGATTGCGTTTACTTTGAGGCAGCTGGGTTCGGGGGTTGCAGAGCTTGGTGGCGGTTGTGAGAAGGAAGGAAGGATCGGAGAAGCTAATTAGCGAGCAGTTGCAATTATTGTGCGATAATGTCGTCGTCACTGTTCCTGGCTAGCAGCATCCTAGTATTCGTTGCTAGGACACGGGATTATCAACCTGTCATGTTGGGAATAATAGCTTTCACAGCTATATTGAATTAATTATCCAGTATTCTTTCTAGATACGAAAATAAGAAGGATAATTAATAAAAAGAATATTATGGAGATAATTAGGAATAATTATCTTAATAGATTATATCTTAATTATGGGAGTAATTATCTCCATAATTAAAATATGACTTATTCCCAAAGAAAGAGGGAATGTTCTGGGTTTTCTGCCCCTATAAATAGGAGACGCCCCAGACCCTCTAAACACACCTCAGAAGAGCAGAAACACGAGAGAGAGTGAATTCATAGAGCTCCGGTTTTCCGCACAAAACCGATGAGCAATAAATAAGAGTGGCTGTTTTATCCTGGAGGCGACCAGCTGATAGTCTGCTGTGCGAATTATGAGGCAGTGCCGCAAACGTCTTAAAGAGAGCGACCTAGTCCGCGACTCAGCCAGATTGGTAAGCGTAAATTTTCTGTTCGGTTTCTAACATTTTTAAGACGTTTGGTTGTTGTCGTATATACTGAACAGGATATCGATTTGATCTCGACCGATTATGGCATTCATGGTCGCTCTATTCATCGGATCTATTTCTTCCGTCTGCCCTTTCGGTGGAACCGACTGCCTTTTGAGAGCTAAGTGACGATTATGAATTCCTTTTGTTTGTTCCACAAGTACCAGTAGGGGTGTACATGGGTCGGGTGGTTCGGGTTTAACCATTTTAATCACCCGACCCATGCACTACGGTTTGGAAATTATCAAACCCAAACCCACCCAATAAAATTAAAACCCTACGGTTTGTTTCTAATTGGGTTGGGTCGGGTTGGCGATAATTTTAAGTAAAAACCCAACCCAACATAAAAATATATAATTATTATACATCATAAAAATATTTTATAACTAATTAAAATTTCAAACGAATAAACCGAGGTGAAAGCTATCAAAATTCAAAAATGCTGTTTGAATTTTAATAAAATGTGATTTACTTCAACATATGTCTAGTTTTTTTCACGATATTTGTTGAAATAGGCTAAAAATGTTATAAACAAACACATCCATAATATGTTATTCTATTAAAATTGTACACAAGAAAAAGGATTACGTGAATCATAACTATACTCAATTTATGTCTAAACTTTAAGTCGAAGAATGCATTAGATTAGGGAGACCATGATAGAAAAACATGGCGAAATATCTTAATTTTCTCATAAGTATTGCTATATACGACATAAATATTTTTTAGATACGAACTCATACTAATAGTTGGAACACGGGTTGGGTCGGGTTCTACGGGTTGTGTAATCCAAAATCCAAACCCAACCCAAAAGAGGCGGGTTGTACAAAAGAAAACCTTCACCCAACCCAAAACCTTCGTTTTAGCGATAAATACGGGTGGGTTGGGTCGGGTTGGACGGGTGGGTCGGTTTGCGGGTGTGTTTATTCACCCCTAAGTACCAGCAGGCTCGAGATTTATTTTATGCCCTCAATTTTTTGCGGCTAATGGTGTGCCACGGGAAAAGTACATGTCAAGTGGTATACTGCTGCTTTTATTATTGCAGCTGCTTACCTTACAACTTGTTTTCCTTGAAGCTGATTCGAGCAAAGAGAAAGAAGTTCCGGATTAATCACATGCATTGTGTTTCGAATTGAACGAATGTCAATAAAATTGAAACAAAGCTTTGGGGGACGAAAGAAGTGGCATTGGACGGAATAGAAGGCGGCTGTGAAAGAAGCTAACAGCTTCTGTTCTCAAACCCTAAGCCTATTTCACTATGTTTTCGTTCTCGAACAGGAAAAGGGTTGAATCTAATACCCTGAGTGATTACATATCCACCGAGAGGCACAATTCGGACCTTCCTACCAGGCCATTATTTTATCGATGGCCTTGTTGATTCGTTGGTCCAATTAATGCTATGGGCTGGGAGGCTAAGGATGTTGTCACTACTGGCCGGTGAAATAAATGGAAGTGGAACAGAGCAATCCACAATTTAAAGATGTCCCAGGTTTGGGTTGTTTGTGAACGACTTTGGGCTATTGCGACAAATCAAGGCCCAATTCGTATTCATGGCCAACATGGAAGCTGTATGTACCGGGTATTTGTGGTTAGTTCATAAGGCAAAGACTTCTTGAAAAGATGTATTCCTAACTTTTCACTTGAGTCATTAATAAATGACAAATTATAATCTATGTCATATGGATATATGCATGGAATTGAGAATCCGTGTGAATGCTAGACAGGAATACTAGAACTGATGCATGATAATGGTACATTGAGATGTCATTTTTGATTATTTGAGTACAATTTTATTTACATTTGTGAAATAGAATGATTTTGTTTAAATGTGTGCATATATTTGAAGAATATATGGGAATAGAATGGGTTTATTGCCCATAATAACGATATTATAAGAAGTACTATTATCAGTACTACACGAACCACTTAGGCTGCTTTAAAACATTGAAGTTTCAAGAATGAGAGCAGCAAGCCGAACCAGATCCATACCAAATAGAATGGTACCCTTTGTGGTAACTATAAGATTGTCACCCAATCCTCTAAGAATGACGCTATGTTTCTCTCTTAAATTTGTGAGAAACTAGGTCATAAGACACGAAAGTGTAAGAACAAGTTTAACCTAGTGTTAACTTGACTAAATAAGAGGATTTGGGGGTAATAATCACTAATGGGGTGATAGGCCTTAATGGCAATTCTGAAAAAATGGTGGTTGGATATTGATGCCTCAAGGCATTCTTCTGATAAAGTAGCTAAGCTTAATCATGCATTAAGGCGTATTGAAGGAGAAAGTGTTGTTGGGCAAGACCCTCACCACTATTCTTAATGGTTCTGGGAAAGTGGAAGAGAACCCTACCTCTAGAAAGTCATTGACTATTCTAGACGTAAGGAATGGTTAAGTAGATAAGATAAATTCTTCCAAGTGTATCTGTGTGAAGAATTAGAATATCTTATACCACATTCCCATATTATTATTGAATACTTGAAATAAATTTGAATTTATATCCAAGCTAAATGACCCATAAATACATGGTTAGAGAATCTGAATCGATAGATCTGATTTATTTTTATATGGGTATACGTGATAGAAAGACAATAAGTGATTTATTGCTATACATCTGAAGAACGCAGCGGCCGAGAATGTCGTTCAACCGAGTTGTGCCTCCGACCAGTTGTGCCTTCTCTTGCAACGATCCCTTTCATAGCCACATCCTGACTCGGCCAGATGCGATGCACAGGCAGACAACGCCTTATCGCTAATGTCGCCCCCTTTACCCTTCACATGGCAAGACAACCAGATGGCAGCGTTCTTCAGACGATCAACACGGTCACGACATTTCGGGTCGTGACATTCTCCACCACTCATAATGCAACACGTCCTCGTGCTGGTGAAGAATGCTTCTCTCCGCAGCATGTATTGCAACTCTCGAAGCGATATGTGCGCGGGGCACAACAGGCTAGCACGAGAACGCGACCGGAGCTTGTCCGTCAGAGGATGGTATCGTATGCGGATGCCCACAATCGGTTTGAGAGTTGCAATACATGCTGCGGAGAGAAGCATTCTTCACCAGCACGAGGACGTGTTGCATTATGAGTGGTGGAGAATGTCACGACCCAAAATGTCGTGACCGTGTTTATCGTCTGAAGAACGCTGCCATCTGGTTGCCTTGCCATGAGAAGGGTAAAGGAGGCGACATTAGCGATAAGGCGTTGTCTGCCTGTGCATCGCATCTGGCCGAGTCATGATGTGGCTATGAAAGGGATCGTTGCAAGAGAAGGCACAACTGGTCGGAGGCTATTGTCGTCTCCCTGATGAGCCCAAGGCAGGGCGAAACCAGTTGGCATGCGTATGCGGAGAGGCTGGTCTTGAGGAATGAGTGCACCTCAAGACGCCGCATTATTAATGATTGCACTGATTATATGTTTGAGAAATGCTAATTTGTTTTTAGTTATTTGAGATGCTAATTTGTTTGAGAAATGCTTTATCGCATTATTAATGATTGCACTAATTATTCGATATGTGGCATGCATGTGGTAGCGTAGAGAATCGGTGACATAATAAATAGAAGAGCATATGAGTGTGTAAGTTATTGTAAAACACATAAGCCTATGAAACGAAATACTCATTAGTTTGTGAAAACCATTGATGCCAATAGATTCCATTTATATTAAGAAATAGTGGGGGTGATATCCTACCATCTATTGGAAATAATGGATAACTAGTGGGGGTGGTGAATCTGAGTATGAACTCAAAAGAAGCAAACGAACCATAAATCGCTAAAGGATTTTGGTTATGAGTTTGTTATTTACACCCTAAGAAAGATCCTACAAATCTGCTAGAAGTTCAAACTTCCATAAAGGTGCAGATTTATGGGAAGAAGTCATTATTAATGAAATGGAATCTTGAGAGTCTTATAAGACTTAGAAACTTGTAGAGTTACCTTTTGGTTGTAAAGCCTTAGGTAATATATCGATGAAATCGAAAAGATTTGGCATCTTTGAGAATTACCTCCTGGCAATGAAGCCAAGGTAATAAATGGATTCCTAAAAGGAAAAACTGAAACCTAATGGTTTAGTTTATGAGTATAGTGATCGCCTAGTAGCTAAGGCTCTAGGTGAAGAGGAAAATTGTAGATTTCTTTGATATCTATTCACCAATATGTAGAATAACAACCATCATATGGATGTTAAGCTTCTTTTGTGAATGGTGGCTTAGATAAAGAAATCTACATAAGACAACCTAAGAAGTTGTTATTCTAGAACATGCTTCTGGAGTCTATGGTTAGACAAATCATTATATGATTTGAAATAGACTCAGAATTTGTGGCATGATTAATCAGATTCTCTCTCATGGTTTTAAAAGTGAAAGTGACAAGTGCATTTAGTACAAATTTGAGAATGATACTTGCATTATGAATGGCACGTCGACCTTTGGTACAAAGACTTGAGATGTCAATATTGAAAAACCATGATGGTTGAGAATTTTGAATGTGAAGGATCTGAATGAAACAAATGTTATGCTTAGAGATCCTAATAACTAGGAAAAGACAAGATGTACACCTGCATACATGTTTGATGATGCTAGTATAAATAACACCTAAGACGGTGTAAGAAAGTTAGAATATACTAGCATTTACAGTCTGCGAGAGGCAACTGATAAACATGAGACCCGATTTAGTGGGGGTTACTTGGCAGGCTTACTGATTGTCCTAGTATGAAGCATTGAAATGCTATTGAAAGGGGTCATGAGACACCTTAAGAACAGTAGACCTTGATATAAGTTATCAACGGTTTCTGGCTATATTGGTAGGGTATATTGATGCGAACGAGAATACCCTATAGAAGATTCCAAGGCATCCAATGGACAGGTTTTAAACATCACTGGAAGTTTTGTGTCTTGGAATTCTAAGAAGTAAACGACCCTGGCTCAATCAACTAAGAAATCAGAAATGATAGAGCTAGCAATGGCTAGTAAAGAGAAAAGTTAATTGAGAGGGTCATTACTAGAGATTCCCTTATGGGAAAGACCGATCCCTCCGGTAGTTGATTAATTGTGATAGCACCGCAGCTATTGCAAAAGAAGGGAACATGTTCTAGAACGAAAAGAGACGACAAATTCGTCGTAAGCACAGTACTGTAAGAGAACTCCTAACGATAGGAGTAGTGAGGGTGGATCATATAAGATCCGAAACGAATCTAGTTGATCCTTTGACGAAAGGATTACCTAGAGAGAAAGTCCAGAATACCTCCAAGGGTATGGGACTTATGCCTACCGAACCACGGACTACAAGTGATGGTAACCCGACCCAATAGACTGGAGATCCCAAGAAATGGGTTCAATGGGTAATAACAAGTCATGAGTAGTATGCGAAAAGTTCATGCATAGTGAAGCATGAATCCCAAAGCAATGGAGGTTGAGTTAATAACTCTTAATGAGATCTATACCCTATGTGGGGTGGAGTACTTTACTTTGGGGGTACTCCTGATAGACTCACCTATGTGAATGTGGGAGTGGGGCCGCTCCCTATGGAACTTTGGAGGCACAAAGTTGCTAGAGCGTTCACTAAACCGGGATAACGTGCATGACCATAAACACACGGCCTATGAGAGAATATCACTCAATGAAAAGATCCGGTGTGCTACATTGTCTGAGATAGGGTTCAAAACTACGAGTCACCCTTATGAAATCGGAAGTGTAACCACTACACTAAGGTTCAAATCTTCGCGATACCTTAGCTTATGCTCGATCTTATGGATCTGTTGATGCTCAGAGATAGTTTCAAAATTATTCAAGTGGGGGATTGTTGGGAATGAATAGCTTTGACAGCTATACTGAATTAATTATCCAGTACTCTTTCTAGATACGATAATAAGAAGGATAATTAATAAAAAGAATATTATGGAGATAATTAGGAATAATTATCTTAATAGATTATATTTTAATTATGGGAGTAATTATCTCCATAATTAAAATATGACATATTCCCAAAGAAAAAGGGAATATTCTGGGTTTTCTGCCCCTATAAATAGGAGACGCCCCATACCCTCTAAACACACCTCAGAAGAGCAGAAACACGAGAGAGAGTGAATTCATAGAGCTCCGGTTTTCCGCACAAAACCGATGAGCAATAAATAAGAGTGGCTGTTTTATCCTGGAGGCGACCGACTGATAGTCTGTTGTGCGAATTATGAGGCAGTGCCGCAAACGTCTTAAAGAGAGCGACCTAGTCCGCGACTCAGCCAGATCGGTAACCGTAAATTTTCTGTTCGGTTTCTAACATGTAACACCTCCAGAAAGGGTCCAGATTTAAAGTATGAGATTAAAGAGTCTTTTTATCCCTCTACTTTTTTAATCGGTTTTTATCTTATTTGTACTCATTTGAATATCAAAAATTTTATTTCGAAATATATCAAAGTGGATCTTATTTTAAAAAGCACAATTAATATAATTTTTTCTATACAAAAAATACAATTACGACTTAAGACGAAAGAGAAATATGTCGTTAAAATTTATAGATGAAAAGGTTAGAAGTTTTCCATAAATAGTATGTGGGAGGTTTTGTACACCCGATAGTTATTACAGTGATCCGCTTCCATCTGGATGTGCACAACCTGCATAAGTATAGTATATCAAGACATCTGCCCGTTAGATGTAATTCGATAAGCTCCGATTAATATCAGTGGTCAAGGTAAGAATGAAAACTATCAATGGTCAAATACTGGGAAGATTTTTTTTGTTGCATCGTTTTCATACCATCATTTTTATTTCTCATTCTTTTTACCCAACAAAAAGAAATTATGATGTGATACTCCTGATTTTCGTGGAAATTTTATATTAACGTATGTATTAGTATGCAAGATAATTCATACAACGACGCTTTTTGTGTGAATTTTCTCGTTTGGTAATTCTTTCACATACCAATTCCTTTTTGCATCATGTTATTACTTTTTAGTTTTTACCAATAAATTTCTTGGCCTTCACCGCCTAAGGTAAATTAGTTACTATTCTTTTTCAAAATGATTTTCTGTTAATGTTTATATTGTTGCACTTAGGTGAATCATGCACACAACAAAATCTCATTGCACCGTTCTAAAACGCTTGTCCCTCATTGTACGCTTTCACAAGGATTGCATGAACATTACTTTCAAGAACATGTGTTTATTGTGTGTTTAATTTTGTGTTCATGCATGTGTCTAGTTAATCCCTTATCTTGTGCATCAATTCACCTACGAAATTTCACTTATTTGGAGGCATTAGTTGCTTAAAATTAGCACAACTCCTTGTACTTCACTTTTATTACATACAATTATACGAGAGGTATATAGTGATTAAAAAAATTAGTTAATAAATACTAAGGTAGGTTTAGAGGAGTTGAATCATTTCTCACACATGGTATTAGAGGACAACTTGTGTATGTATTAGCAAAAATGTGATAACAGACTCGCCTTGCATGCGATGATGCGGAAATGACAACTTTATTTCGTCTCGTGTATGGTAAGCTTCTCTCGACATGAGATATTCCCAAATAAACTTCTCTTGAACCCTCTATGACTCACTCAATGCAACTTGGAGATGAGATGCGGTTTGTTTCGTGAATTTTAAATTCGGATATTTTAAATCTCTAAATATAATAATATTAAATCTCTCATAATCATATATATTTTATATCTTGAATTGTATGATTTTTTTCCTCTTACTGTATCCCTTTCTTTTTTATTTAGTCCACCAAATAACCTTATCAATATATATCGAGCTATTTTAACTCTTTTATCTAAAGGTAAACATATCATTAGATGAAAAAATATAATTTCAAATTTTTATTGAATGTCAAACATCACAATTAACAAACAATTAATATTTTTAAAAAATTCAACGATGCAAATAGTTAGAATCTTTAGATTGTTCAAAACCTAAATATTTAGACTCCAATCAGGGGCGGAGCCAGGATTTCGTAACCGGGTGCGTCAGTATCGATTCTCAACTGATCGTCTGGACGCTATGTCAAAGGTCTTTATTCACTTGTCCGTGATAGCCATTTTGGAGGAAATTCACTCACTTTTCTCATCTTTCTCATCAGTATTATGTCATTTTGCTTTTTAAAATTTCAATAGAACTATCCATTTAGTGGCGAAACAACCTCATTCATTGATAGTCTGATTACTATGAACTATCAAGAAAAGCCAGAACCTTGGAGAGACAATTTTGAGGTCTAACCAACAAAGCCAGGACTTCTAATCTATATCCATTCTGCAGGGTAGCTGTCTCGTCAACTCATCCACTTGAAAACGATGTCCAAAAATTGTCCGATTCCACCATCAGAAATCCATTCATATTCGCCCACCCAGGTTAAATCCGTACAAATCATGGATTCTGCTAAACGTCAAGCGAAATTCCCAGAGGTCCTATTCATAAGTAATAAACAAATGAATACGTTTCATTCTCAGAGGTCCCCCTGCAAACAAACTACCCTGAAGAACTCTGTCTTGGACATGAACTGCTCTGTTTCCCGTATTTATATTATATTTTTCCTCGAACTCAATTGGAGCAGTAAACCTCGATTCGAATCCTTCTAGCTGTTGAATTTGCAGAGCTTAATTCAGTGCTATTCAGCTTTCTACTTGGATTTAAGCAATGGCGAGATCGAGTAATTACTTGCAGGGTCGAGAGATACAGAGCAGTGACGAAGAAAGAAGAAGCCAGAGGAAGCACGGTGATTGTGATTGTGAAGATGATGCTTTCTATGCGGAGATTCGAAGGCAGATTCTGATTCTGACGGCTGAACAAGGTGATAATGATGAAATAGACGGCAACCGGAAGCGGCGGGAAAGAAAGGGGCCGCCGACACGTGGAGGCAGAGTACTACTCCAGGTGGCTCCGGCGGGAAGATATTTCAGCTGGTGCGACGAAACTGATCGTATATCTGGCGATTCTTCTTCTTCTCCGTCGACGTCGTCTTCATCTTCGGTTTCCACTCCAGACTGGCTTGTGAATTTATGGAGGAATAACAGAGCTAGTGGCAGTGTTGTTGGGACTGGAGTTTTCATCCCTCAAATCGTCAGATCGGGAGGAAGAAACAGACCCAGTAAGTAAAAATTATTAAATTTTTCTTGGGTTCTTTCTAATCTTTTGAAATTATGAAGGGATAAAGTTTGATTGACTTGATTTGGTGGTGGGTTTGCAGGGAGAAGGAGAAGTGAAGGGAACGGGACGAAGAACAAGCATTTAGTACAGAGTGTCTCTGATTAGTCTCTCTCTCTCTCTCTCTCTCTCTCAAATCCCATAGCTCTTTCTCCTCTCTGGTTGATTGTTCCTTTTTGGGTTTAGAGAGTATAGACAAATACTAATGGAAAGGGCATTCAGTTGGAGTTAGATGGTTTTGGCTTTCTCTTAATCAATCTCTGTGCTTGGGTTTTGATGTATGGGAGTGGAGTTTTTACTAAGTAAATATTATAAGTTTTAATGATATTTGATATTTCTCTTGTTGATAGCTTTTAAATTTATTGGTTCTACATAATCGTTTTCCTTATATGCTGAATTCATTCCATTGATTAAGTAGACACTTGGGGTCATTTGCTTGAGTCATTTGTATGAGTTATTTGGCATTCAATGACTCGTTTGCTAAAGAAAAATGCCTCCTAACTGTGAGGAAAATGACTCATTATTAAGTCCAAATGTTCCAATTATGTCATTACCTATTTTACGTTAACTCACTTCTATCCTTCTTTCTATTATTTGTTTTATTGCATTTCTTCTCTCGAAATTATTTTTTCCTTTCTCCCACATTACACAAGCAACGAAGAGGGTCATCTACGTAGCGGCGCATCTTTTTGTCACAAACACCATCGTTTGTAATTAGCTTAAAATTTGAGAGTTATGAAGGCGTTACTTTTTATAAAAAAAAGTTAACATAGAATTATTATTCAAAATTAGAAAGTAGTATTATACATGACAAACACCCAAACAATATGTTTTGTTGATTTCAAATAATTTTGTTTAAATGGTTGGTTTTATTAGAATAGGAAACAAGATAAAGGAACATATTAAGGGCAAAATGGTAACTTTATACAAATGACTAATTTAAAAGTGACTCATCTACAACTTTTAAACAAACAATACATTTGTAATGCCTACATTTCTCAAATGTCTACATTTGAGCAAATGACTCATGCAAACTTACCCTTGCTTCACACCATTTTTTTTTTTTTTTTTGTTCTCTTCAACTTTTGTTCAAGTTTCAGTTCTTCAAACTTAAAAAGACAAGTAACCAACTCTGTTTATACATGTTCAATATTATCTTTTAATACATATGGCCACACGGGTATGATTAAATGTTTGATAATAAGATCTCTAGTTTAAATATCGTTATCACTCAGGTAGAAAATACACATAATTAAGGAGTCTCAGTTGTATTGTATGACTAGATTCACATGTCATCATCATTTAGCCAACAATCATGGGTCTACCATGATTTTAGTATAAAGTCCCTCTTTGTTCAGAAAAAAATCACTCAAGTAATTGTTTATTTAAAAGATATGCATAAAGTAGTAAAATTTCATACATTATAAAAAACAATTTCCTAACATTTCATTACAAGTTTTTTTGGTGTGGATAATCGTTTTCTGCAACCGCTACTTTTGGTGACGCTGCAGCCAAGGTAAACTCAGACTGTTGGGCGTACACAGTTGTTCACACTTGCCCGAGGTGGTCGATGGGGAGGCCTCGACATCCTAGGCAGGTCCCCTACAAGCAAGGTGAGGCTCCAACACCGGGGTGCTACTCCAAGGGTTAGCGCTTTTGCTCGACTCTATTGATTGGATTTTCTTTTCTAGGGTTTCACTTGCATTGCTCTTGGGAACCGAAAGTGGGTAACCGGTAGCTAAGATATGTTTTCTTAGTGGAACATGATCGATTACCATTTTGTGGTTCTGAGTGGATGACCGGTAGGTCTAACCGTGAAAGTGGCGTACATGTATAGGATTGCAAATAAAGCAGCCTGGATATGGTCAGATCGAATATCCTCCTCCCTTGTACTATTTGGAGGACCATCATGGAGGCCACACTCTAACCGTCTAGATTTATTTGGGCCCAAGATCTGGAAACCACTGACATTGAGCTAAAGATAAAAAAAGGCAAAATACATCTGTATAGTCAAAACTTTCTCATTTGTGACAATAATAGCAACTTTTCATGAAATACACAAAATATTGGACAGTAGGATGATCTATCATCTTGCGGGCCTCCGCCAGGAAAGAGCAGAGGACCTCCGCCAATCCCTCCCAAGGAACTACAACCAGAAGCAGTGAGCACAAGGGAGATCGGAGGTCCTTGAACGAGAAAGAGTCGAGGTCCACCGTGAACAACCACAATGGAGATGAGAAGGCCACTGCCAGGAAAGAGCAAAGAACCTTCCCCAATCCCTCCATGGGAACTTTAGCCAGTAGCAGTAACGACACGGAGCACGAGGGAGATCGGAGGGCGACCGCCAGCAAAGAGCACAGGACCACCGCAAGCTACTCGTGCCTTATCGTCGTTATGGTACACGAGTAGCTTGCGGTGGTCCTGTGCTCTTTGCTGGCGGTCGCCCTCCGATCTCCCTCGTGCTCCGTGTCGTTACTGCTACTGGCTATAGTTCCCATAGAGGGATTGGAGGAGGTCCTTTGCTCTTTCCTGGCGGTGGCATTTCCATCTCCATTGTGCTTGTTCACGGCGGGCTCCAGCTCTTTCACGTTCAAGGCCCTCCGATCTCCCTTGTGCTCACTGCTCCTGGCTGTAGTTCCCTGGGCGGAATTGACGGAGGTCCTCTGCTCTTTCCTCACGGAGGCTCGTAAGATGATAGATCATCCTACGGTTTGCACTTCAATATCGAGATGATCTAAAACATGATCAGAGTATTATATTAGGAATCAAGTATTGCACTAGAATGATGTTTCTTTTCTGGTTAGTTAAGATCAATGGTTGTTGTGCAAAGTTGATATTTATGAACCCGGGTCATATTTTTCTTTCTTCTTCTATATCATTTGCGAAGTGTGATTACTGGCATCATATTCTTTTGGTGTCAATTATTATTTTCTTGATTTGCATGAATCTATTAAAAAAATCATTCCTTCCAAGTTAGCTAAACATGCATGCTACTGTTGAGAAATCAAGCATATTATTATTCTGGGAATGGGGAATAACGAATCTAGAATGTCAAATGGGCAAGTCACCTAATTAAGGTTTTGGTTATTCCATTTGGGGGATTTGACGTAGACATTTGGCAATTTATTCTTCCGGTTACCGTTATGGCTGGGAATATAAAGCTCTAATTAAATTATGATGGTGTCTTGTGACTTGTTTGGGTAAAATGCCCCTCATGCCATTGAACTTTTAGAAATGGGGTAAGGGTATCACTAAAGTGTAAATTGGGCACCACATACCATTCACAATGGTCATAACAATAGACTAAAACTTGCCACCTCAACAAGCAACAATGAGCCATATAATTGTCGGCTCTTTTTTTTCAAATTAAAGAACGAATAAATGATTCGAACAAAGAAATTCAATAAAATAAAACTTCTTTCCTCCACTGTTTTCGTTTTCTCTCTGTATATTGCTCCCACCCTGAGATTTCTCCATACCCAAAATTGAAGAACAAATTTTTCATTAACAAAATCTCACCTCACACCTCTCTCCTATACTTCTGATCAGACCCACCGATATTCTTTGCAGCTTCTCCAGAAACTCAAATTTCATTCAATATGAATCAGTGATTGATTTAGGAGAATTTGTTGGACGCTTTCATTCATTGTCGTCATCTTCAACGGGGATGCCGTCGTAAGAGAGACCCAAAAATTTACAACTTCTCTCTCCCCAGTTTGGAAATGGGCAAAATAACGACACCAAAATTGCGTGAAAGAACCTCCTCCGGACGATCCTCTTATTATGCTTTCTCCTCCTCCTCCGCCCGCCTTTGCGTCAAAGTGTCACCGGCCATTACCCTTCCTCCTTCATGTCGAAATTCAAAACATCCGTCCAAATGAAACTTTCATCACGGACGAGGATTTGTCGGGAAATTGAAGAAGGTTTGGAAAGACGGGTCAATATGTTCGCTTGAGAAAGAGGATTCGAAGACTTTTGGGTAACTTGAACTTCTTATTTTGTTTTTGTAGCAAAAGTAAAGGTGACTCACCATCGTATTTGACCACGGTCAACACTTGTTTTTCCTTCCGCTAGTAGGGTGGATGGAAAACTATACAAATACACATTTTATTGATTTGAATGGTATTTGTTGCCCTATTTGTACTTTAGTGGTATATATCCCCCAATTCTTAGAATTTAGTGGTATAAGAGATAATTTACTCTGGCTTGTGTCATAGTTCCATTTGGGATTAAATTTCCTCATCATGGGGAATTGAGTGGGGTCAACTACTTAAATTTCTTACTATAAGTTTTTGTTGCGAGAAGGTAAATGAAAAAAATTTAATAATTAATTAATCATCTTGTTCTTTAGCGTCACGTAAATTTATTTTTCTGCAACCAATCATATGGTATGGAAATGGTAATGAGTGGAATTTGTACAGAAGGAACAAATTCATCATGATCTATTTGATCTACAAATTTATGGAGAAAAAATACATGACCAAAAAATATCACCTCATACCACCCTGGTTTGGTATAGGGGTGGTATCTTATGGTACACAATATTGAAAGTCGTAAATAACAATTAGTATATTCCTACTATTATGTATTCAACTATCCTACAGTTTGGAACATTCATACCACCATGCGGTATATTTCTTATATAATACCAAACAATACCACCATGCTATAGACTAGTACTAAATGTTTCAAAAAAAAATATTCCAAAAAATATCAAAGTGGATATCATTTTGAAGAGCACAATTAATCTAGCTTATCTGTGAAAAAAATTAAATTCTGAGTTACAATAAAAGAAATATAGTCATTTAAAATTTAGAGAGAAAATATTAAAACCTTTCATAAATGATGAACTGACGCTTATGTGACATGTTCTGGATTCCACAAAGTTAGTTATAAGATTCGCTCCCAATTTTGTGACTATACGGATAATTGTTCCGACAGGTTTGTACGTTCTTATTCAATAAACTTCCAACATTTTAAAATCGAAAAGCGAAGTTCTTATTCAATGACCATTGAGCTTCTTCATAGATATATAGGAGCAAGAGCAACTTCACCAAGCTTTTAATGTACTATCAAACTTGTCATTATTATTATTATGGACTTTGCTA